AATAATTTGAATCCAACCAAAAACCCAATGCAACTACTAAATTTAGCAAAGAACATCAGCGTCACAACAGCAAACGTATCGACCCAACGCGAACACGTAATTCCAAGTTCAAAGGTGAACGGAAATTGTGGCAGTGCAAAAACAGCTTCAAGTTCACTAAATGATCGTCGAAGCCTATGCGTTTACGTGCATTTATATAATGCAACAAACCAGCATGTTTTACAATGATGGGCAGGTATGGAAGAGAAGAGAGGAGGGTTGGAGAGGTCAGCCAAGCGTGCCTGCTAACATCCGCTTCCGCAGGATGTACGATTGTCATTTTCTTTTTTCTGCCAACTTCGGCCGGGCCAAACGCTGCAATTCATCGGGAATTCATTTCCCTAATCGAAAGGAAATGAGCTTGTCATGAAAGACCAAATCGAGTGTTTGGCCTAAATGTTTGCTCCTCGGCCACATGCTGGATTTCGAAATGGTAATAGCATTTTATGTGGTGTATGTTTAATTTACGTCGATTTGATACTGTTTACAGTTTGATGTTTCATGACAATTGTTGTGTAAGTGTTTCATTGATGTGGATGATTATAGCAAATCATTTTTTGAAACTTTAATAGAATTTGATGAAAGTTTGGAATTGAGTTGATGTTGTCAGAAAATACTGTGTATGTTATATTTTATTTAATGTTCTGAAGGTACAACTATACTAGTAACTACAGTTATTTATTAATTATAGATTAAAGATTTGACAGCTCAAGGTTACATATACAGGGTGTCTCACTAGTCTTACAATAGTATGTCTCACAACTAGTGTTACTCCTGGAAAGGTTTGAAGCTTCGTTTTTGAATTATTATTATTAAAATATAAAAAATCGTGGACAACATATCAAAAATTTTATAAAAATCAAGCAAATATTTTTATACTTAAATTCACGTAAATGTTTCAATATTCTAAACACAAAATTAAATTAATTAATCACAGCAAGTGATTTCAAGTTCACCAAAATATATCAAGCTGAAATTATTAATACTACAAAATTTCACTAATAATAAATAAATTAATACTTAAAATTGACCAAAAATAAAAATAATATTTTTCGCATGAAACAGCAAATGTAACACGAAAACATGGATTAAAATTATACTTGAAAATGAAATTAACACCTTCGTCTTTGAAGAAGGACAGTGCGTGTCATTGCAAAGATCATACTTAACAAAAACGATACATGCGATCGAATTTCAACGTGAATACACGATGTGTGCTTATCGACGTAACCCTAGATGTGTGCCATCTAATCAAACAGGTAACCAAACACTCGACATTACATGAAGACCAACACCTTGTTTGCGCGCATGTGAATGCGAATCATGACGCGAATTGTGCTTAATCCATTCCCTCCGGCGTTTACTATAACAATCGCAAATCGATCGAAAGTCTTTTGAATAATTTACTTGATAGCGATTTTTGTATTTTTAGGAAGTACAATACTATTCATTAATTATGAACTGTTCAAAAATAAATTAGTCATTAATAAGCTATTGGTTGAAACACTATTCTTGCAAGTTTGAGGATTGCATTATATTAACAAGATTTTAACAATTGTTACATTTGATAGAAGTTACTATATACTGATATCAATATGATCTAAAATTCTTATAATCCAAAATTCATATAGTATTCAATAAATGATATAATGTTCATAAATAAATTATTTGTTAATAAGCTATTTGTTGATGAAATACTATTCTTTTAAGTTTGAGAATTGCGCCATATTAACAAGATTTTAACAATTGTTACATTTGATGGAAGTCACTATATACCGATATCTCTATGATCTAAAATTGTTATAATACAAAATTCATATGGATGTCATACGTATGTAATGCGCATGTTCTGAAATATCTACATGTGGCAAGAGGTACGTACGTTCTGAAATTCCTATGTCCCAAGTTACCTACGTGCCTAAATTGCTATGTCTCGAAGTACCCATATCTCAAAATTCTTTAGGTCCCGAAGCACTTATAACTTGAAATATCTATGTCCCGAAGTTCCTACGCGTCGAGACCTCCATGTCTCGATATTGCTACGCTCCAAAATTCCTACACGTCGAGACCTCTATGTCTGACATTGCTACGCTCCGAAATCACTATGTCCCGAAGTTCCTACGCGTTGCAACCTCCATGTTAGACATTGCTACGCTCCGAAATCACTATGTCCCGAAGTTCCTACGCGTTGCGACCTCTATGTCTGACATTGCTACGCTCCGAAATCCCTATGTTCCGAAGTTCCTACGCGTCGAGACTTCTATGTCCGACATTGCTACGCTCCGAAATCCCTATGCCCCAAGGTACCTACGTCCCAAAATCGCTATATGCAAAAATCCCAATATTCCACAATTCTTGCGTCCCGAAGTTCCTACGCATCGAAATCTCTATGTCCCAACATCTCTACGTTCCGAAATCCCTACGTCCCAAAATACCTATGCCCCGAAATCGCTATATCCCTAAATCCCAGCATTCTCAAATTCAATATGTAAATTCCTAGATGTCTAACTGCGCTCCCTAATTTTTCAGATCCCCAAATATCTACACCTTCAAACTTCCAAATCTCCACAAACCTATCTCCCTAACTTATCCATACCTCCTCCCAAATTTTCATATCTCCATACACCCACACCCTTCACATTCTCATCACATACTCATATGAATAAATATACCCATCCAAAACTCCTAATCTCTCACCAAATATTGATATCCTCAAAAATCCCTCACCAATCACCAAAGTCAGTAAGACACCTGTTTCATGTCCAAGAAAGGAATCTGGTAGAATTCCCCATCGTACGCTCATTAACGCTCAAATAGCTGAAGCTGGTAGAACTCGCAAAAGCGTAGTCAAAGCACAGTGGAATGTCTGTCGTCCGCGCTTTATTAGACGATCAACGATCTACCGATACACAGTGTTGCGTACACTGCATGCAAATAAGCATTTTCTCTCTCTCTCTCTCACTGTTTGGATGTCGTTTATCTTTTTTCATTTTTTCGTCTTCGCTCTATCGCGAGAACGCGTGCCTTGAGGTCGCCTAGTTGCAAAACTCGTTCCCCGAGGCTACAAGACGTTCGTGGTTATCTTGGGGAGAAATAACAGGGAGAATAAAGGGAAGAAAAAGAACGAAGGGAGGGAAACGAGACAAGACACTTGACGTCGAGAAAACGCGGGTAAGCAACGTACCTTTCCTCTGCTTTTGAGATAGCTACTGGTTGAAAATAATTGAGAATCGTTTGCTACCATGATGAAGATAGCCATTTAAAATAGTTTCTGTTGTTTTATTATACATCGTTATTATCGATTAGGGGTTTGTACTGATTGAGATATTGAACACCTATTATTTTTTTTATTTCTGTGTGTATAAAATTTATAAGCTGAAGTACTTGTTACTATGTGTCTGTACCAAAATTTTCTGAAATGACTAAGTCTTACGATTGTTATTAAAAGAAGAGTGAAATTCGTCACATGGGTCAGTCCTGTAATATTTGGCAATCATAAAATATATTAATAAAATGAAAGTAATGTACATATTAAGTTATGTTCTATTATTCACTCATTTATCAATTTCTTCAAATAAAGCAACTTCTGATATGTCTTTAATCATCTACCTGTAGATGACTGTATTTTAAGAATAGTTCATGTCGCAACAAATCGTTCGTTAAAACTCCCTGACAAATTACATGTCATTAAGAAGGTTTCTCCATCTATAAATCCACAAAACTTTCGTTTTTCAAAACCATGCGATTTCTTGCAGCACTCATTATTTTCCTAATTGTAAACTATTTACAATCATTCCAATCGGTGAAACTGTAGAAAATTATTCTTATTATTCCCACTAATAGCACCTTCTTGCCGTGCTGTAATACTTTTACGGACAAACAGTTCGGCTTTTTATCAAAGACAAATGAAAAATGAATTTAGAAAGCTATCACCCGTTGACCCAGTTGCGACTCTATTATGCTTGGCATCTTTCGTTTTGCGTTTGTCATTCTAACAAATTTTCTGAACACTCTTCAATCTGTTAGACTGAGTTTAACAAGCGACTATTATGCAGTTGTCAATCTTGAAGTGTCGGTTGAAAGTAATACTTGAATCGCGAGCACGAATGATAACATGTTTCTTTTTCTGGTGCAGTAAATGAAATGTGGGACGAGAGACTAATTGCTCGAAACGGATGCAATGGAAAAATATTTAATTTTCTAGTTTATGGGTTGTTAGACAGGAAACAGTTTTATTATCAAGTTTACATCCCCTGAATTTTTGCTTTTAGTTAATGGACTCATTTAATGTATTATGTGGTCAGGACTTTTTGTATTGACTGATTATAGTATACTATAGAGTAGTTATAGTTAACTAGTTAACGTAATATACAATGTACAATGTAATGTGCAATAAGTAGTAGAAGTGGAATTATGGGTCTGTGAACAAAATGTTCAAGAGGGATCACATATGTTTGAGACCACATACGTTTAGGACCACATATGTTTAAAACCACATGAGTTTAAGAACACATTCTTCAGAGTACATAAGTTTAATTCATTTTGCCCTAGTGTACTCATTTGAGTACACTATTCACTTTCATCAAACATGAACTGTACACATGTCTTCCTATATGAGTACACATGTGAGGACTCATATGAGTACAGCATTAAACTTCACAAAATGAAGAGATGTATTATTATTTTTATTATAACAGAAGGTTTTATTTTCTCAATAAAATTGTATTGAATATCTGTACAAGCATCATTGCCATTTTCAAAATGCTTGTGGGAACAAATGGCAAACCCCCATTATAGTTAACACCTTTTAGCCTTCATTATAGCTTGATGTGATACAACTACCTGTCTATCATATAGACTACATTTATAATTGTACCAATTTTAATTATTTAAGTTTTAAATTATTTAAGTTTCAACTATTTTTCATTCTATTATACATAAAAATAAAATAGCGTACTTACTAATTAACGAAACTGCTTGGGTATCTCCTTACCTGGAATCAAACGAAACACAATTATTACAGACATGACATGACAGCTTTAGTGTTGTAAACTAAACTATGATTCTAATCTCTCCAACAATACTACACTCCCACTACATATCTAACATCCCTACAAAATGCCCACATCCCCACATCCTCTCAAACGCTCCAACTTAAAACAAACCCGTCTTCACATTAAGTACTTAAAATTTAACTTTCAAATACCAGATACCAAGCCGATAAGTTAAGAGTAACATCAGAAATTACGATCGAACAATAAAATTGCTGGGGAAGTCTGCATAATAGCTAATCTTTCTCATCGTTCTGAATCTGCCAATCTAAAACTTGATGCAATATCTTGGATCAGAACCGCGTTAGCGTGCACGATAATTCCTGATCCGATAAGAAGGAATGCAAGTGCGTGCACCTGATGACAGCCATACGGTCACGTAAAAAGACTAGCCCATAACAAACATGGCGAAACAATGAATGAAAGTTGAGTATTACGAGGTAGGAATAGTTATCTACCGCGGAAGGCTCGGTTGTATTCCGAGCGTTCAATATCGATGCTTCTTCCCCTGTTTGAAACTTTCGAACGATAAAGTTCACTGTACTCGACGATACGTTGCATGAATAATTAGAAGCGGTGTCATGTAATTGCCGATAGGCTGATGATTGGAAGAGAAAAAGTACGTGGAAATGTACGAATACATTTTGTGCTTCCTAGTCGGGAAAATCAAACTTGAAGACTGTTGCCATAAAACTTGATGTATTGATTTTATAATACATAGTGATTTTGGCTTGAGAGTGTACTTGGTTAGCTTGAGGTGCATTTAAGGGTAGATGTAAGGAGTAGATTTTAAGGCAACTTTTTAGGGCAAGGAGGGAGATTGAAGGAATTTAGAATTTTGAATATTTGGAAATTTGGTGAGGTGTCAGAAGTTGTCTCAGGTGACTCAGGTGACCTGAGTCAGAAATTTGGTCATTTGAGATGAGAAGAGACTTTGTTAGGTTAGGTTAGAGATTAGTTAGGAATTTGGTAATGTGACGATATGGGGATTTGATGGGTGTGGGAATTTGAGAAGTTGCAAACTTCAGAATTATAATGGGATTTAGGAATTTTGGAGTTTGAGAGTGTGGTGGTCTGGGAGATGGGAATTTGAGAGTTTAATATTTAGTAGCTTAGAAAATTGGGGATTAGGAAGTTAAAGAATTTAGAAATTTATCATTCATAATTGTTCAATTAATTTATCATTCATAATTTATAATTCACTTACAAGAGGTTTGCATTTTTATAAAATTTCAGATTCCAGAGTTTTGAAGTTTTACAAAGCTCCAGATTACAATTTCGAGACTTCTGAAATTTTACAAAATTCTTTGAATGAATTAATTTAAAAATTTTACAAAGGTTTTTAAATGAATTAATATCAAATTTTACAAAAGATTTTAAGTTAACAAATTTCAAATTTTACAAAGATTCTTGAATTACTAAATTTCAAATTTTACAAACATTTTTAAATTAACTAATTTTAAATTTCACAAAGATTCTTGAATTAATTTAATTTCAAATTTTACAAAAGATTTTTTAATTAACCAATTGCAAATTTCATAAAAGTGTTTGAATAAATTTCTTCAATAAAAAAGTTCGAATCAAACCCATCCTAAGATCCTAAGCAACCGACATGACTGTATTTATTATTGCATCGAGCGAGAACATTCGAATGATATCTCGGAAAGAAAAGGCTCTTGTAGACAGATTTATCTTGCTCGAGTAAGAATCACGACACGTATGTAAAGCAACTATTTCACGTTGTCACGTCGCTATTTTAACTTTGTAGCTTCGATCGATAACGAAAAGAACTCGTGAGAAAGTTTCGTGATACCATGTGAGATTAAAAACATTATAATCGAACGTGACTTCCAGTTCTGTGTACATGCGCTCCGTCTAAATTTATTACCCTTCGACTGATAACAAATCTTCGATTGAATTTTATATCACAAAAGGTATGAAGAACTGAAATTTTATGTAAATATAGTGATTCTTTGTGGTGGGTCTCCATTTGTTGAGATGATTTATGAATCTTGTATATTTTAACAAATTTTTAATTTCTTAATTTTATAAATTTACAAATTCCTCAATTTACCAAATTTATAAATTCACCATTTACCAAATCTCCAAAAGTGTAAATCCCTATATTTATAAATTTCTACGTTCCCAAATTCGTACATTTCCAAATCCCTAAATTCCCCAATTCCACATATCCCAATTCCCATATTTCCCAATTCCCATATTCCCCAATTCCCACATTCCCCAATTCCACATATCCCAATTCCACATATGCCAATTCCACATATTCCCCAATTCCCACATTACCCAATTCCACATATCCCAATTCCACATATCTCAATTCCCACATTCCCCAATTTCACATATGCCTATTCCACATATCCCAATTCCATATATCTCAATTCCACATATCCCAATTTCACATATGCTAATTCCCACATTCCTCAATTTCCACATCACCAAATTCCCACATTCCTCAATTCCCACATATGCCGATTCCACATATCCCAATTCCCACATATCCCAATTCCAACATACTCTGATTCCCACATACCCCAATTCTCACATATCCCAATTCCACATATCCCAATTCCACATATGCCAATTCCACATATTCCCCAATTCCCACATTACCCAATTCCACATATCCCAATTCCACATATCTCAATTCCCACATTCCCCAATTTCACATATGCCTATTCCACATATCCCAATTCCATATATCTCAATTCCACATATCCCAATTTCACATATGCTAATTCCCACATTCCTCAATTTCCACATCACCAAATTCCCACATTCCTCAATTCCCACATATGCCGATTCCACATATCCCAATTCCCACATATCCCAATTCCAACATACTCTGATTCCCACATACCCCAATTCTCACATATCCCAATTCCACATATCCCAATTCCACATTGCCCAACTCCACATATCCCAATTCCCACATCTCCCAATACTCACATTCCTCAATTCCCACATCTCCCAATACTCACATTCCTCAATTCCCACATCCCCCAATACCCACATTCCCCAATTCCCACATCCCCCAATTTTCACATTCTCCAAATTAAAACTGAAATTACCAAATACGTCAGATTGAATCTTAAGCAATAATTTTACCACCCTAAAATTCCACTTCTATTCCGCAATAAATGAACCTCTATTCCACTCATACAAAACAATCCTACTAACGTTACCTCTACACAAAACACCAATAACACGTTTCTCGTAATTCAGTACATCATTGTATATTCATTTCTTAACGTACCTCTCCGAATTAACACCGTTCGTTTAATTTTATAGAGATGTTTTTAGCTTAACGCGCTAATTTTAATCGACAGTCGTAAAGTACTCGAGAGGAACTCGTTTTAATCGAAAATAATCGGCCATTTCTTTTTTCTTTTCGTTTGAGATACTTGCTATAATAAATACGAAACCATTGGAAGGCATGATATCCAATTCGAAATGTGAGAAATGCAAATGCTTCGACGAAATCTGCTGTTATATGCTGATTGTTTCGGGTCAGCAAGCTAATAAAAATGCACCGTTATTCTGTATGAGAGAAGTTTGTCACGGTACTTGCTTAAAATTAACTTCGTAATGTCTTTATTGAGATGAACGAAGTGAAATGCAAACGGTTCTGAAATTAACTGTTCGGGAAGCAGATTTATTAACTGTACATTTACTCGTTTCTTGGATTTGGTTATCAGTATATATAATTAGTGTTCAATTGCTAAAAAAATGATGATAAAATTGATACTGCAAATAAGTGTGCAAATGTACATAAATATATTTAAATATTTATTGCTAAAATGTATTGTAAATTTATATAAAGGATGTCAAGGATAAATGGATACATGTATGTAAAAGATAAACAACGTAGTAAAGTGTACAAAATATTAATCAAAATTAATCAATACATGTTTAAAGAAATATTTGATGTGTGCTGTGTATACATATATGAACGTATGTTATTAAACTTAATGAAATAAATTTCACAAATTTAATTTATTATGTTTTATTTCATTTTAAGTATTTGAAAAAAGTCTGTAGCAAAAGCTTAAGGAACCATAATCTTGATTTGAACGTTGCTAAAAAGAATATTGTCATTTATTACAATATCATTTTTATATGAATCTTCTAAAGGATTATGATATAAATCTGATTTAAGGAGTTTACAAGAATTATGGTAAAAATTGTATTCCTTCACTAAAAATTGCTATTAAAAATCATAAAGGTCATTGTCTCATTAGGTATTTATTTGAAACTTGAAGTTAGATCATTACCTCCACTTTTCATTTCACCAAATTCATCCAATTAATTTCTGATTAGCTCGCATTAACTGATTTTATGGTTTGCATAGCGTGCGCACTTCACATAGATTCATCGTAAAAGGAAGAGGAAAAATGGTTTTTTGATAGAACCAACTACCTTCTAATTACGAAAAACCTGGCGTTAATTAATTATTAAGATTAGATAGGATCCGCTCTTTACTAGGAAAAGAAAGCAGAGATCGCGGAAAAAGTAAAACGAGTTAACGTGAAATTTTTGTTGGAGAATGGATTTTTCTTGTTCTCGTGACAATGAGAGGAAATGCTGTAGATGTTATTAAACAACGCGATTTTCTGTAAGATTATTTCTTTTCTTGAAACGAGGGGCGTTGCTAGATCTATTAACACTTTTATTGTCGTGTAATTTGTGCTTTTGAATAATTTTTATTTTATTTGAAGGGTATTCGGAAAATTTCTAATTATGATTTTATGTTAAATATTATTAATTGAGAGAATTGTCAAATAAGCAGGAGACACTAAATATTTTTAGATGTGTTTAAAATGTTAAATAATTTAAAGACATCTTCAAATAATTTTAAGGAAGTTTAAAGACGACTTCAAATTATTTTAAATAATTTTTACAGACGTCAAATAATTTTTAAAGA